CCCCCGGTCCGCCGCTGGTACGCCACCCCCCCGTCCCGGACGGGGCGCAGCCCGCAGGCAGCGCTGCCCGTCCTGCCCGCCGGCGGCATGCCCGGAGCGGGGTCCCGCCAGCCGTTCACCGGCGTGTAGGTCTGGCTGTGGGGCCGGTGCTGCGGGGAGGAGAAGGGGTGAAACAGGAGCTTTTGGGGGAGGGGTCAGTCCCCAATTGGGGATGCGGATGGGGAAACTGAGGCACGGGGACGGGAGAGGATTCGCCTCCGTCCCCAAACCTGTCCCTAAACCCGCTGCCTCTTGCTGGCAAGGGACCCGGGAGTGTCCCCCCAGGCTCACCGGGCTGCCGCGGCCCCGCTGCCGCTGGCAGCTGAAGAGGAAGGTGCTGAAGTAGGGGGCGAAGCTGCTGTCGTGGAGGGCCAGGAGGTACGCCTCGGTGAAGCCGAAAGCCGCCGGGAATTGCCGCACCAACTGCCACGTGCAGTCCAGGAACAGCAGGAAAACGGGGGCCTGGGCGGGGGACACGCGTCCGTGTCACCTGCCGATGACGGCGCTGGGGCGGCGAGGGCACGGGGCGGCTCTCACCTCCTCCCGGGGGCTGTCGCGACGGAGGAGGCCGAGTCGGCGAGGAAAGGGGTGCCCGGCTGCCACCCACTCCCGCTGCACCAGGCTCTGGAAGCCGGGCAGGGTGCGGGTGTGGGGGTCCCCCAGGAGCTGCACCAGCGAGGCCAGCAGGCAGTTCAGGTCCCGGTCCGATGGCTCTGGGGGGACGAGGCGGTGTCGGGGTGTCCCCAGGCCGGCAGCCCCCCAGCCCGGTGCTCCCGCCGCCGCTACCTTGCGGGAGGACGGAGCAGCGTCTCCCCACCAGCAGCGATGCCACCTCCACGGCTTTTCTCAGGCAGGTGCTGGGGGGTAAAAGAGGGGGTCAGGGCACCCCAAAATGCCACGGCCGCCTGCCCGGGGGCCTGCAGCCCACCGCAGGGTGCTCACGCACCCACCGCAATGCCCCCCTCGCCCTGCAGCCACCGGTCGGGCTGTGGGGGGGACCGTCCGCCATGGGGAGGGGGGATCCCTCCACACTGGGATTCCCCTGGCACTGGGATCCCCCCCTGCCATGGCACTGGGTTGTCCCAGCACCGGGATCCCTCCACACTGGGATCTCTTAGCACTGGGATCCCCCCTGGCACTGGGATTCTCCTGGCATTGGGATCACTCAGCACTGGGATCCCTCCATACTGGGATCCCTCCCAGCACTGGGATCCCCCCTGCCATGGCGCTGGGTGGTCCCAGCACTGGGATCCCCCCCCCGGGCTCTCCCCGCCC